GCTAGAAGTGGAGGGGGCGGGGTGGCAGGAGCTAGAGGTGGAGGAGGCGGGGTGTTAGATGCTGCCTGTCCCTTGGATTGGGGGATCCCACCGGCACCTTCCGCACTGCTAAAGACCAGAGAACACGCAGATGAGGGGAGCCTTCTAACTCAGCATCCCCCAAGGGGCCCCTCCAACCCAAAATCTGGCCTCATTATTTTTCCCACCCAGCGGTCCTTAGGTCTCAACCCCAGAGGTCTGGCAGGAACCCCCCCCCTCTAAAATTCCACCTACTGTCTACCCCCCACTAGACTCAAGCACTCACCCCGCCGAGGCCAAGGAAGACGCGGAGGAGGCAGCGGAGAGCTTGCCGTCGGGCACGGAGGGCAGCTGCACCGGCTCGGGGATCCGGGGTGGTCTCCTGGGGGTGGAGCAGCGTGGCATGAGGAGGGAGAGGGGGGGCCTCTGCCGAGCAGGACCGGGGTAGCTCGTGGAGGGACAAGCTGGGTGCCAGGCTCAGGAGCACCAAGGCGCTAGGTGCTGCGGGCAAGGGGTAGGGGGGCAGTTGAGAACCACAGGGCCTGGGCAGAGCTGATGGGAATGGCCGGGAGGCCTCACCCCAGCGTGGCGGAAGCAGGTGTAGCAGGTGCCTTGATGCTCTTGCGAGACAGGGTCCCGGTCCGCGACAGCTGCGTGCTCAAGTCCTGGGGGGAGGGTTGACATCTGAGGCTAGGGGAGCAAACCTCACCCTCATCCCTAAGAGGGATTGGGGGAGGGCCGAACGAGACCTGGGAGGACTAGCCAGACTCAGCAAGTTCCTACTTCCACTTTCCAACCCGCCTCCCGCCCTACCCCCACCCCAGACGCGGGTGTCCTTGCCGGCGCCACAGGGCCTTAAGTCTGCAGCGGGTCCCACAGAGCCACCCACCCCCACCGAAAGAAACCCGCAAGCACAGACTAGTCTAAAGGCCACTTCCTCTGCATAGCCACGGAGACTTTGCACCCCCACACTATAGCAACTCTGCAAGGATCTGGGTGGCTTTGGTGGTCCTTAGCTCTGACTCGAGGTCTCCTCCAGCAAGAGTGGAGAAGGGAGACACATCACACAGAACTCATTTCCATAAACTTATGGGACTGACCTCCCCAAATTCAAGGCAGAGGGATGGCAGAACCTAAGACACTTAGGAGAGTCGTTGATAGAGGGCAGCCCCCAATGCAAGAGACGTCTCTGACTTCGGGACTTCCCCCAGGATGAGCACCTGGGGCCCATGTTCTCTGTCACCCTGCCTCTCTAGAGACAAGACAGAGGGAACCTGAGGCATAAAGGAGAGGGTGGAGGCTGGGCATAGAGTTCAGGGCTGGAGCTTGTGCTGAGCTTATGGGAGACCTGGGTTCCATCCACAGCACCGTCAAAAGAAAAAAAGATGAGAAGGTTGGATTGCAGAAAGAACTTACGGGGACCTGGGAGCTGAGGGGAAGACTTGTTCTCCCTTGTGTGTGTGTGTGGGGGGGGCTGCCATAATACAAGAGGTTAAGACCCAGGAGAGCTTCGAATCTGCTAGGAAGGAGTGGTGACAAAAGGTGACAACATGAACTATGTCCCCTCCACCAGCTGCTCTCTGTTGCTGCCTCCTGCCCCTCCCACCAGCATTCTGGGGTGACTTCTTAGAGCCGTGACCTCAAACCCCCAGACAGAGGAAGTTGCTGTTCTCATGTGGCTGAGAAGCGGTTCTCAGGCACAGGTCCTGACGCCATCCCTCCACCCTCTTCCCCTTCACACACACACACACACACACACACACACACACACACACACCCAGTGCCCATGGTGGGGGCAGGGGCAGCTCGTGATCTTTGGAAGCAGAGTGTCTGAGTACGGAGCAGAGGGCAGTTAGGGACCTTGGGAGAGTGAGGGGCTTAGGCCGCGGCTCCTGGCCATGGAAGTGTGAGAGAGGCAGGGGCTGTGAGGGAGGACTAGAGCTTGGGAAGGAGACAGGCGGGAGCTCCCTGGCAGGAAAGGGTGGGCCGTGGGGACGGTAAAAAGTGGAAAGGGTAAAGCTTCCCTTTACCTTGATTCCATGGCCAACGTCATCCAAGCAGCCAAAGTTGAGGGGTCTTCTGTGGTAGGGAGTGAGGGGAGGTAGGCTCTCGGGAGGGATGACCTTCTGGCCAGGAGGCAGCCGCATGACGGTAGCCAAGGTGCCAATCTCCCTTCTGGCCACCTTTTCCATATGCATGTTCACCATCTGCGTGACAGGGTGGGGAGGTGACAGTGAGGGGCAGCCTGTCCAACACCACTCCCTTTAAGAGAGGGAGAAACCTTGCACTCAGGAGGCGGAGGCAGGTAGATAGGTCTCTGTGAGTTTGAGGCCAACTTGGTTTTGATGATGAGTTCCAGGCCAGCTACGACTACACAGTGAGACCCTGTCTCGAAAGAAAGAAAGGAGGAGGAAAGAATGGGGATCATGGGAGTCAGGGAAATCCAGAGGAGGTTTTGTGTGTCGTTGTCCGTCCATCCGTTCTCCCCGTCCCCCACCTCACCCCCCACCCGTCCTGGTAGCCATACAGCAATTGGGAAAAGAGCAGCAGAGAGGATGAAGGCACTTTGGAGCAACTTCCTGGTGGAAGAGGACAAGGTTATTATTAGCTGTCCAGGAAACAGAAGAAGAAAAGGGAAAACAACATCCCTGGGGAGGCTGGGAAGGGATTGAAGGACAGGGCAGCCTTTGGAGCAGAAGGACACAGTGTGGAGGTGGCAGAGAATTGTAACTAAGTCAGCTCTCCCCTCTAGGGGACAAACATGTGAATTAGCTTCCTCTTGGAATGTTCCCTCAGGCCTTGAGGGGTGGGACCTTGGATCTTCAGGAGGAAGAGGAAGACACACCCTATACGCTGACCCCTTGGGGACATATGGTCAGACCAAAAGTGTAATTTCACGAATACATGTGCCCTGCAGGGTCAAGAATCCAGGAAGGAAGGCTGAGGGTATTTGTGGGCCAAGGGTAGGGACTCGGTATGATGGTGTCAGGGATCCCTCTGGGGCTGAAAATGGGCTTGCCTAGCCAAGGGGAGGACACTTACTAATCATTGCCTATAATCATTGCCTATAATCATTGCCTATATTCCAATAATGGGATGGCCTTTAGTCTCTCCTGATCTCTGCAGGTACTGTGACCGGCAGACAAAGCTTCTACATATCCAGGGAGAGAGAGAGAGAGAGAGAGAGAGAGAGAGAGGGAGAGAGCGCTTTCAGAGAATTTTGCACTTAATGGGGTATCAAGGACCACACTAAGACATAGCCATGATGGAGGTCTCCAAGGTTCAGAAGGTGCCAACATTCTGTGGACATGGAGAAAAGCAAGAAACTCTTGTAGCGAATATTTGAGTGGGACTAAAGAGACTAGAGAGGGCTGAAAGGGGACGCCTCCCCACACCCTTACCTGGCTCAGCGTGCTGATCTTGGCTTCTACCTGCCGCAGGGCAGCGCCCTGTAGGTCCAGCATTCGAAGAGTATGCCCAGCCAGGTTACCCACTTGGTAGGCCACACTGGCCAGGGCCTGGGTGGTGAAAGCCATGGTCTCTTCTAATGCCTTCCGCTTGTCTGTGGCCTGAAATACACACAGCCTTGGCTTGAGGCCAGCACATTCCACTGCTTCCTAGGCAAGGTCTGGTGGGACCAGAAGAGAATCTAAGGAAGGCGGGAGCTGAACTTGGAGAACGCCACAGTCCTTAGATGCTTGAGGTAGCTTCCGGAAGGATGATGTTGTAGTAAGAGGGTTACAAGGGGTGTTAGGTAAACATGTCTGCAGCCTGGGAGAATTGCCTGTGGGGATGGGGAGGGGTCCTCTCCTCCAATAGTTGAGGTGAGGATTGAGTTGAGAGGACCAGACCCTACTGCCTTCCTCAGCAAGTGCCTCTTTGCAGGCTGGATGGTGAGGAGTAGAAAGGAAAGAGGAAGGTGATGCTGGCCTGAGGAGACATAACTAAATGTAAAAACCAACCAACCAATACCACACCCTTACCCTAAACCTGCAAACCAAAGCCCCCTCGGAGGAAGGCCAGAGCCTAACAGCCCCCAGCTGGCCTTGAACTTCTTTAGCCGCCATCCACAGGCAGGTGTGTAAGAACTTAGAAAAGGACTCTGTGTCCCAGAACCAGAATGTTTTTCTTTTTTTTGTGACAGGGTTTCATGTAGTCCAGGCCTCAAACTCTGTTGTAACCAAGGCTGGCCTCGAACTCCTGATTCTCCTGCTTCCATCTCCGAAGTGCTAGGATTACAGGTGTGTGCAACCACACTTGGCTTTAAAACACCCCCTCCCCGTTACACACCCCCGTTGCTCCTCTCCAGCCATCCTGGCCACTGGGGTTCTGTTCTCTAACAAGCTGGATCGTTTCCACCTCGGGGCCTTGGTGCCTGTACTTCCTGTCCCTTTTTTTTTTTTTTTCCAGCTCCCCCCTCCAGCCAAATATAAGCACCACAAAAACAGAGAGCTGGTCCATCCTTTCCGGCATCCTTTGCTGGCATAGTCCCCACCACACCGAAGATAGGAAATAACTATGCATGTGTTGGCCGATGGGCAGGTCGAAGGGGAACCCAGCAGGAGTTAGGCAGCTTCCTACTGCATGCCAGACACTAGCCAGTGCCACACTGCCAGTCAGTGGAAAAGGGGTGGCCAGAGAGTGGCTAAAGACAAAAGAACTTTTTTTTTTTTTTTGGGTCCCAGACCAGACTTGGGGGCTGGGTAAACCTTCTTGGGTCTCTTGCTTCCCCAAGCCGCTTCCTCCTTCGCCATCGACCATGAGCCTGCCCACTGAAGCCTGTCCCTTTCTGGAGGCGGGGGAGGGGCAGAGACAAGTCCAGAGCAGAGGAGGCAGGCCAGGGTGTATACCCTGCGGCCTCCTGGCTCGGAACTTTGTGTACTCCATAGGACCTGTCACCGGCACTGCGAGAGCTGTGTCCTCAGTGAGAGCTGGATTCCTCTTGTGTAGTCTGAACTAGAACCTTCTGGAAAACCCATGCCATGGTCCTCCCCTCCCTGCTTTTCTGTTCTGACAGCAGGAAAGCGATGTTCATTTGTGCCTATTTACATATAATCTGCATATGCAATGAAAATTTACATTTCATCAGCATATGCCACCCAAAGCCTTGAATAGGCAAAGAAACTAGAAAGGACTACAGGCTTTGTTCTAGATCTTGGCTTAAAGGGTAATAAAACCGGCCCCCTCTGCTCCTGGACTGTTCCCTCCCCAGCACAGCACACGGACTTAGCAACCAAAACAAGAGTTGTCTGCTCTGGGTATCTCCAGATGTCTTTACCCTCTAGCTTTGGTCTTGACCCACAGTGAAGTCTGGAGGAATAAGAGTCTGGGACCCTTCATCTAAGCTGGGTGTTTATCATGCAAATGACCCTGTTTGTACACTCAGTCAACCCTGACTGAGAACCCTACACTTGACCCATCCACCCGCTGCCTTTCCCCTTGGGCTTCTGACTACTCATTAGTGGGGAAGGATGGGATGGAGACCTTAGAAAAGACATCACCCTACACTTTCCTCTGTAGACAGACAGGCAGGGATGGTCATTGATTGTACGGTCTAGGAGGCAGCACTCTGCACAAAGGAAGGCAGGGATTCCAACCTGGGTCAGGGTTTCTGATCCCCCGAGTGTCTGCCAAGGCTGTCACCCCAATAGAGTGGGTTCCGTTAGTCCTTCACAATGGAATGGTAACAGCAGCAATAATAGCTGCATTTATGCTGCCTTTCTTACAGGATGGTGGGCCTGGGCAACTGCTTCAACACATTGTTCCAGTTCATACTTGTTTGGAGAAGGTATAGAACCTCAGAGGAACTCCACCCACCCCCAAATGCTGGCACAGGCCTGTAATCCCAGTCTTCTGCAGCTGCGGCAGACAGGTCAGGAATTCAAGGCCAGCCTGAAGTATAGAGAGACAGACAGGACAGAAAGGAAGGAAGGAAGAGAAAGAGAAAGAGAGAAAGAAAGAAAGAAAGACCAATGGGAACCTCACCATAGATTCCTAAGTGGATAGATGGAAGACCTGGGGACTCAGCCTTGTGGCTTCAGTTCCTGTGTGCACACCAATTGTACACATGGGATTGGATCCACCAGCAGGACTTGGGGGTGTAGGAAAGGACCGCTTCCATCCCTGCCAGGGGAGCATGCCGAAGTGCTGGGGGTGGGGGGCAGGCCGGGGCAGAGCTGGTTTATAAGCCACATGCCAGATCATCTAGCTACAGTCTAGGTGTACATCTAGCTACACTCAGCATCACACACACACACAGCAGAATGACATGGAAGGTAGCACTGTGGTCTAAAGGGTTAGTAACTGGACTCTGAGTCAGAACTCTGGCTGCTTTTTGTTTGGGGTTTTGATTTGTTGTTTTGGGCTCTTTGAGGCAGTGTCGTGCTAAGTAACCCTGACTGGCTTGGGCTCACTTATGTGGAGACTATAAGGCAGGTCTTGAACTTTTGGAGATCCCCCTGCTGTAGCCTCCCCAGTGCTGAGATCATGGGTATGGACCACCACAACCAGCTAGAATTCGGAGTTTGAATCCTGTCCTGGTGACTATCTTGGAGGCCTCTGGGAGCACAGTTTAACCCTTTCCAAACCTCAGCTTCCTCATTGTGACCCATGAACGGTCCTCACCTCACAGGACTGGGGACAAAAAGAGTCTGTTGGGGGCAGGGTACAGAGAGATGCCCTTTCCCACAGGCATTTGCTCCTCTTCTCTTCCCAGACCCCTTACTATAGGAAGGGGCCCCTGGTGTTGTCTCACAGTTTGGCCAGGGGTAAGAGGTCAAAGACTTCGCCTGTCACTCTTAACGGAGCAGAGGAAACTGAGGACAAAGAGTGCAGATAAACTGTCCCCAGTGACACACCGTATCAGGCAGGCAGAAGGATGGAGAGGCAGGGGCCCGGGTGAGAGGGCGGGGAGGCCATGCTTGGTTCTGCTGTTCCAGAGCTGGGTCACCCTGGACATGTCACCTCCCCTCCCTGAGCGGCTGTTTGCACACTTGGAATTCCAGTCTTTGTCTCACACGGTGACTGTGAGGGTTGACAGAGGCAGATGGGCAGCTGCTAGGTCCCCTGCCCCTCTCCCCTCCCCAGGAACCAAAGCTAAGGAACAAGCATGAGATCCACAAGACTCCTCCAGGCTGGAGTGAGGCTTAGCTCAGCAAAAAAGTACTTCCCAGACAGCCCTGGGCTCCCTTCCCAAGGCCTTGAGAAACCGGAACAAGAGGACACATGACACACACAACAGCCAGGTGAGGTGGTGGGAGCCTGTAATCCCAGCACTGGGGGCTCAGACAGGAGGACCAACCTGAGCTACAGTGAACTGGACAGTCCGGGCCATACAGGGAGACCCTGTCTCAAAATCTTCAAATAAACACAAATTGGAGTCTGCTCCCTAGTGCCTCCCTCCTCATCGGCTCTCAGCAGCCAGGCTGTAAGCCCCCTGCCTCTGCCTCAGACCTCTTCTCTCATCCCGATCTGCTCCGACCCTGCCCTGCTCTCCCTCAAACATCAAGGAACAAACTCCCGAGGGTGGAAGTTTTCCTGACGACCCCCCTAGAGCCAGCCTGCAGAGGGTACCAGCGCCCGTGAGAGGAAAGGCTCTTGTAGGTCTTTGTAAGGGATGAGCTGGGGCACGGTGGGAGAACAGACTAAGTGTACAGTGATGTATACACATCCTCTACCTCTGAGGTTATGTCAGAAGAAGTGCGGTGGCGCTTGGGAAACGTACGCTGTTGAAGCCTGAAGAGTCCTCAGCCAAGGCCAGAACAGGCACCTGTCAGAGGACCCTGCGAGGGGGACCGGGCTGCAAGTCCCCTCCCGGGATGGGTATCCCGGCACGCGCTCTCTCCACTTACCTGCACGTAGTTATCCTCGCAGTAGTTGGCCACCCGCAGCAGGGCGCTGTGGTTGCCCCGCAGAGCCTCCCGGCCCGTGGGGATGTCAAACTCCTGCAGCTGCTGCAGCTCCGCCATGGCTCCGGCCTCGGTGGGGTTCCCTGGGGAGCCTGCTGGTTTTGAGCCTCACCCTGCCCCTGATTGGCCCGCTCTGCTTTCCCTCCCTCTCACTACTTTTGGTTTCCTCTGCGTGAGAGACCCAAACTTGCCTGCAAAGGGTAGGCATGCTCGTTCCGGGACAAGAGGAAGTCAGACCCTGGGTCCTGGGCTTGTGTCTCTCTGTCCCCAGCTCAGGAGAAGGAGGGGGAAGCCAGGGGCCTGTTCGGGGGGCTCAACCTCCCAATCTCACCGGGCAAAGGAAGGCAAGGTCGGGGCATCTGGGATTGCTCCCTGGTCCCGGAGAGGAAGCTAGTCGATGGGGGGAGGGGGTCATAGAGACAGGAGGAAGGGGCTGGCCTGCAATGGGGGTGGATTTTCCACTCATGGAAGGAGGGAGGAAGGGCAGAGGGTGGGGGCTTCCTTGGGAAGCTTGGGGATGAGTCACCAAGGGATGGGGGAGTGGAGGGTGGATAGGATATGGAGATAAGTCATGGGGGGCGGGGCGGGGCTGGCAGTGCAACAACAATGGAAAACAGCCCATGCAGCAGCAAGAAGTATCAGGGTTAGACACCAGGAAGACCGTCTAGAATTCCTGGAGAAGCCTGGGCAAGCCTGTGAAGGGTCAAGCAGGGAGTCCCGGGACCTGTGCTTTGTGCCTGATGTAGGTAGGAGAAGATGAAACTGACCAAATAAGAACTATGAGGGACGCAGATGAGCAACAGGAAGGCCTTGGGTGGGGGACACCACCATTCCCGATGGATGTGTGGGTTTGAGGTATCACTGGCGGACAGAGTCTTGAGTGGGGCCCATTGTATTGACTGAGAGGCAAACGGGTTGATGATTCTGTCCTAAACTTGAGTTCTTGGCGCTCCCAGCTGGGAGTGGGACTTGATCCTGGGGCAAAGGACGGCCTTCTACAGCCCCTCCCCCTCCCAGTTCGTCATCCTCCTGGCAGAAGAGGAACCCTCACTGACCACATCAGTTCCTTAACATTCCCTCCAGAGAGTCCCTTGCTACTGGACTAATGTCAGTCAGAGCAGGAGCTCAGCTCTGCTAAATGTCATAGTCGTCGTCGGGTAGCCCTGGACGGGAGAGGGAAAGGGCAGGTTGTAGTTGTTGGGATCTGAAGAGAAGGCAGTTCCACACGCCAGGGAAGGCGTGGAGGCCAAGAAGCAAAGGCCATGGCATCGGGGTGACCGCAACCCCTGGATTGGAACGTTGAGCACTGGAAGTGAGGGTATGTTCTCATGGAGTGAGTGAAGAGTGAGCCTGGAGACCCTTGGAAGGTGACATTATGGGACCCCCTAATGGAAGGCACAGGGCTTCTGGATACGGAAAGCTAGGAGCTAGTGTGGAGTGTGTTGTCTGAGGGGGACCAGACTTGGAGCAGGCTCTGTGATGGACAAAGACAGGCAAGGGGAGCATGTGGGCTGGACTGAGATGTGAGATGGGGTTGGATTGGGGGGGGGTCACTAACGGAGAGCTGCTGATGTGGTGGTGCAGGGGCCCACAATGGAGGTGGCCTGTTTTTTTGCTTTGTGGTTAGAATAGTCAGTGTCTGCTGTGGAGGAGTGAAGGCCTGGGAGAATCAGGACTTATGACCCTGAGCTCATGATCAGCTTAGGCATTAGAGATTAGGCTTTGCCGACCATCTGCTTTATCTGAAGATTTTCAGCTGATGAGGCGCTAGCAGGTTCAAACACCATCGTGTCTGGGTCCTGGACTGGTGATTTCGGAGAGAGTGCTAGCAGGTAAGGAGGCTTTGGGGGCACTGGGCTGGGGTCTAGTCTTGGTATTACCGGGGTTAAGCAACAGGCTGGTTTACCCTGAGGGATGATGGTAATGATACTGTCAGAAATCAAAATAAGAAATGTGTTATGTACCAGGCAGTATGGCAGTGTTTCCCATGCATTATTTTCTCGTTTATTTCATGTGTATGAATGTTTTCCCTGCATGAATGTATGTGTACCACATGCATGCCTGGTTTTCACAGAGGTTAGAAGGGGGCATTGGATCCCCTGGAACTGGGGCTATGGATGGCTGTGAGCCAACAAGTGGGTGCTGGGAATTGAATCCTTGTCCTCTGTAAGGGCTATCAGTGCTCTGAAATGCCAAGCCGTCTCTCCAACAACCCCCATGCATTATTTTCTTAGTTCTCACAATAACAGTGTGGGTAGGGAGGTAGCTCAGTTGATAGAATGCTTGTCTAGCGTGCTCAACACCCCGGGTTCCATCCTCAGTAGCGTACAATCTAGGTATTGTGGTGCGTGCCCAGAACTCAGGAGGTAGAAGCAGAAGGATCGGGAGTTCAAAGTCATCCTCAGCTACATAAAGGGTTTGAGGCCTGGGCTACATGAGACACTATCTCAAAAAATAAAAGCAACGTGCCTATTATTATACTCATTTGCTGATGGGAAAACTAAGATTCTTTTTTCTTTCCTTTTTTTCTTTGGTTTTTCGAGACAGGGTTTCTCTGTGTTGCTTTGCGCCTTTCCTGGAACTCGCTTTGGAGACCAGGCTGGCCTTGAACTCACAGAGATCAGCCTGGCTCTGCCTCCCCAGTGCTGGGATAAAAGGTGTGCGCCACCACCGCCCAGCCCAGAAAACTAAGATTCAAAGAAGCTGAGTGACTTGTCCAAGGTCACACAGGAGGGAGCAGCAGAGCTGGGGGTCGCAGCTGGCCTCTGGCTGACCCATAGTCTTAACACTAGGCATACTGTCCCCTTGTCAGGACCTAGAGACAAAGCATCCTCCTGAATCCTTTCATGGAGCATTCACTTTTCGTCCCAGATTTCCACACTTAAAAACCCATTTTCCCTTCCTTTTTCTGTTTCCTTCTTAGAAAGGTTCTTATCCAAGGGCAAAGACTGAACTACCCTATCTCACTGACCACTTCCACTTCTCCTAAGTCTTCGTTTAGATAGAGCAAAGGGTGGAGGGATACTGTGAGGAAATGCTAGCCAATGAGGGATCTTGATTGCGGGGGTGTGGTCAGGGAGAGTGTGGAACTGGAGGCGTGGAGGGGGAAGTGCTCATGATTGTGGGATCCTGTCAAGGCTCTGGTCTCCCTCTAGGGCAGGATGGCCCAGGATCTCAGTGAGAAAGAGCTGCTGAGGATGGAGGTGGAGCAGCTGAAGAAGGAAGCGAAGAACCCTCGTGATCCGGTGAGTCCCTCGTCCCTCCTCCTCCAGCTTCTTCACCTTCCTGTTGGAGTTAAGAGGAGACATAGGCCCAGGACAGATCTCTGGACTGGGGTGGGATATAGAAGACGGTTGGGGTCCCTCTCACGTTCCTGGGCACAGGGGAGAGACTGAGAGCTGTGGGGAGCCCAGTGTGTGCAGCACTGGCCCCAGGCTGCGGTGGCCGTCAAGTGTTTGAGGGTCAGGTCAAGGGACTCCCTCTCCTCCCCCTCCCTCTTTCCTCCACCTCCTCTTTCTCTTTGACCTCAACCTGTAGCTAGAGTTTTCCTGCCTTGCCCACAGTCAGGACAAATCTCTGTCACCCGCCAGTCCCACAGCCACTCAGACCCAACCAAGTAAACACAGAGACTTATATTGCTTACAAACTGTATGGCCATGGCAGGCTTCTTGCTAACTGTTCTTATAGCTTAAATTAATCCATTTTTATAAATCTATACCTTGCCACGTGGCTCGTGGCTTACCGGCATCTTCACATGCTGCTTGTCATGGCGGCAGCTGGCAGTGACTCCTTCTGCCTTCCTGTTCTTTCTTTTCTCTTCTCTGTTAGTCCCGCCTATACTTCCTGCCTAGCCACTGGCCAATCAGTGTTTTATTTATTGACCAATCAGAGCAACACAACTGACATACAGACCATCCCACAGCATCAACCCTTCCCTGCCCATTTTCCTAAGATTCCATGTCATGGATTCTGAGAAACAAACAAGAGCTGTGACCATGTTTTGTCATCTTACAGATTTCCAAGACCGGAAAGGAAATCAAGGATTACGTAGAGGCCCAAGCTGGGGCTGACCCTCTTCTCAAAGGCATCCCAGAAGACAAGAATCCCTTCAAGGAGAAAGGCACTTGTGTGATAAGCTGATGGCCCAGAGCACCCCCACTTTTTTCCCGTTCCTCCTCACCCAGGCCCAAGTGTGCTGGGATCCCCAGGGACCATTGTTTACCTCCTCTTGAATTTAAAATGAGTAAAGATGCTGGGGAAAAAATGCACACTGAGTCAATTCTCAATCCTGCTTCCCACCCTGTCCTCCACCTGCCTGCCTTTGCCTTTTTTTTTTTCCTTCCAGAGCTGAGGACCAAACCCAGGGCCTTGTGCTTGTTAGGCAAGCGCTCTACCACTGAGCTAAATCCCCAACCCCCCTGCCTTTGCTTATGATAGGGCAAGGGGCAGAGAGACACAGTGAGGCCATGCTAACCAGTGCGGGGCCTCCACTGGGAGATGTGGCGAGAAGAATGTAGAATTGAAGGCATGGAGGGAGACCCCACTTGAGGAGAATTTCCCAGCTGAGCAGGTGGCACATGTGTGGCAGGTCAGGAAGAATCTGCAGTGCCCTGAGGCCCCAGAGGACAGTTCTAGGGAGCATTCACCTAGAAGGGCCCCACCCTGACTTTTCTTCCTCTCCTCCTCGATGTAGTTTGGGCTAAAGATTGGGATGAGGGCTTCCCTGCCCCATGGCCTATCCTGATATACCCTTTCTAGTTATTTAGACCACAGCAGGAGGTAGGAGTTCAGATGGGAGAGTGCTTGCCTGGCATGGAGGAGACCCAGGGTTCCATTCCCAGCACCACATAAACTGGGCATGGCAGCCCTTGCCTAAAATGCCAGCCCTGGGGAGTTAGAGGCTGGAAGATGAGAAATTGAAGGCCATGCTTACTACATAGGAAGTTTGAGACCAGCCTAGGCTATGGAGGACCCTGTCTCAATAAAATAAAACAAAATAAGAAGCAAAACAAAAAAACTACATTAGCTGGGATGGCCTGAAGACTGGGGGTGGGGGCTGGGGAGAGATTTTGTAGGGTCATGATCACATGGTTTATTTAATGTACTGAGTTTCTGTTATGTGTTAATGTATTAGGCAGTACAGCCAGAAGTATGTGCAAGACTAGCTGGTTCATATTTTCATGGAATGTGGTAGAGAAAACCTAAGGAATTTGCAGTGACGCCCGTAGAAGTTACAGTGCGGGAGAGGCAAGGGCCGTGCAGAAGCAAGCATACAGCAGATGCATGTGCAGGGCAGTGAACAAGGTCAGGGTGATCACCAACCAGAGGGCACAGCGTAAAGACGGTGAAGCAAAGAGGGAGACCCAGGTAAAGTCTGGAAGGATCTCTCTCTCTCTCTCTCTCTCTCTCTCTCTCTCTCTCTCTCTCTCTCTCTCTCTCTGTGTGTGTGTGTGTGTG